TAGAGGGAAATGAGACAGCATCATCAATATCGTAGGTTAATGATGTTGGCATATCATTACCATTAAATTCTGAGTCCTGACAGACTGTAATAGTGTTTTGCCTTAGATAAAGCTGGTGAACAGCAGGATGACCATGATCCAGCAATGTGCCCTTGTGGCCAAGAAGGCCAATGGCATCCTGGGGTGTATTAGAAGGGGTGTAGTCAGTAGGTCGAGAGAGGTTCTCCTCCCTCTCTTCTCTGCCCTTGTGAGACCACATCTGGAATAGTGTGTCCAGTTCTGGGCCCCTCCGTTAAAGGACAGGGAACTGCTGGAAAGAGTCCAGCACGGAGCCACAAAGGTGATGAAGGGGGTGGAACATCTCCCTTGTGATGAAAGGCTGAGGGAGCTGGGTCTCTTTAGCTTGGAGAAGAGGAGGCTGAGGGATGACCTCATCAATGTTTATAAATATGTAAAGGGCGAGTGTCAGGAGGATTGAGCCGGGCTCTTCTTGGTGATGGCCAATGACAGGACAAGGGGCAACGGGTGCAAACTGGAGCACAGGAGTTTCCACATTAACATAAGGAAAAACATTCTCCCTGTGAGGGTGATAGAGCACTGGAACAGGCTGCCCAGAGAGGTTGTGGAGTCTCCTTCTTTGGAGACATTCAAAACCCACCTGGACTCGTTCCTGTGTGACCTGCTCTAGGTGGTCTTGCTCTGGCAAGGGGGTTGGACTGGATGATCTTTCGAGGTCCCTTCCAACCCCTGACATTCTGTGATTCTATGTGAGTTCATATTTAAGTCTTAGTTTCACACTGCATTGTGAAGAAATTTCCCAGGTGACTTAGACTATAGTATTTGCAATGTTTAAAACTGGGGTGCATGGGATACTGGAGCTAGGAGAGTAATTTTTGGAAATGGCACAAGGCTATGATCCCAAATAAGTTATCTAATTAAACGTATGCATTAAATAATCCAATCAGGAAAGGATATAATTTTGGTGTGAAATAGACATCTACATTTGAGGCAATTCCACAACTGTAAGATCAAAAGTTCTTCTGACTTTTTGTTATCAACATAAAAATGATCTTCCACCTGTTTTTAGAAAGGGATTTTAGGTTGATTCTTCTGATTTTTTTTTTAAATTTTTTTTTTTTTTACTCATTGAACAAATGAGATTTATTTGGCTGGCGTGACATGAATAGTTAATCTCTAATTCAGAAAGGGGTATTTTTTGAGTTTAAATGACTTGAATCGAGGGTTGGACTAGATGACCTTTAAAGGTCCCTTCCAACCCAAACCATTATATGATTCTATGAATTTTTTCTAGAAATTAAATCTCTGGAATATAAAACTGAATACTTGTTCTGGTAATTAAAACCCACTTTGATTTTGAAAGAAAAAGCATGCAAAAGTATTTTGTAAAAATGACAGAAGTTCTCAGGAGGGTCATGAACAGCCACTTCAAGTCTTTTTGTTTCCAGACAATTGTTACACAGAGGGATTAAGCCATGTCATTCACCTATCAGCATTAAAGAGTGGATTAGATAAGCAGAATTGCCCCTTCTGACCCCCCAAAATCTTTCCTTAACATTGTTGAAGGCAGCAGCAGAGGACATCATAGTAAATCTCTCCTGCAGTTTAGATGATGCACCAATAAATCTATACATGAACACAAACAGCATATTGCCTCCCAATATGAGATTTAACAAAACCTCATCTCAGATTTTCTTCAATGTGAACACATACTATAAACCCAGGATTTATCCTGTTTTGTTACTAGAGAACTATTTAGTCCATTGAACACTTGATTTCTCCTCACATACTGGGTATCTTCTTCTATTAATTCAGCTTCAGTTTTGGTTCAGCTAGAAATCTTCCCCTTTACAGCTTTGTGAGAAAGATCTTGGATGGTTTTGGTAGTTTGACTTCCCCAAGTGTAATTACAGAGGCAATGACAAACACATTTTTGGGATGGAGATCAGAATTATGCCTGAACCCTGTAAGTTAAGTGGCATATTCACATTTGCAAACACTGAATCTCTGCACAGGGTCTTGTACTTTGGATGACTTGGCTAATCTGGACAAGGACCTGACTTCTTTTATCTGAGTGTCTCCACACATGAGCACTGGAAGTCTAGAGAAGGGTTCAGGTACTAAATGTGGACATCTAGTCTTGCTCTAGACATCCTAGCATCCATGCATGGCTGGCAGTTTTCACAAAGGACCTCTTGTACACCTTTTGGAACCTCCATTGGAAAACAGTCAGCAAACACCACTAAAGTGCCTGTTAAGTCACTGGAATTGCTCCTTTGGGGTCAAGATTAGCCTGTGTGAATGTGTGAGGGGGTATGTATTTCCTCTGAGTTGGGCAATAGCTCCAGGTTGACTCTAGCTGTGGAAAATCATGTCTCAGGCTGAGGAATGGCAAGAGGAAGGATCAAAGACCTCTATCACACCAATTCCAGTCTGACCAGAGATTCAGAGAGTTTGCTTTGAAGGGAATGGAGAATGAGATAAATCTCTGTATAATACAAGCTATGTGCTAAACTAGTTCAGGATTTCTACTACAGCTTGTTTGGAAAAACAGGCAGAGGTCTCAGTCTGATGTTGGAACAGGCTTCTATTGCTCTCTCCCTGAAATCAGCCTCTGGAGTTTGCTTTCCCTGTAGACTGGTCAGGAACAGCATTCCAACAGCTCCTGTTCTTCCATCTGGAAGATATCTTTCAGTAAGATGAAATTAGGCAAAATGGACAGCTCAGAGTGTCATGATTTACTTAAACTTTCCTGCCAATACAGGTCATAAATATCAATACAGCATCTCCAACACATCCACCAACTCATTAAGACAGAATAACAGGAAACATAGGTCACAGTGCTGTGGTTATAATAGCTGATATTTTCCAAGACTGCTATCTGCAGACTTTCATAACAGCGTGCAAATATGCAAAGGAACTTAGCGAAAAAGACTCTAGTATCAGAACAACGCCAGCAGCCACTCTGAGCAAGAATGAGAAATGAGTATTTTGCAAAACAGGTGCTGCTGAAGCAGCCTGCAAAAAATCAGACCTTATTTTTTTATCTGCTCAAGATAAAAGCATTGCACAGATTGAAAGGGAGAAAAACTCCCTAATTTGGATAGATGTGGATATGTAGCTCTTCAGAAAGCACAGTACTCAATATGAGAGAGATGCAGAACAGCTCAATCAATTAATCTTCTCTTTTGTATCCATGTACTCCATGGCAATTATGTACCCTGGTTCATATGTACTTTATATGGGGATTGACTATCAAGCTTTTTATCTGCTCCTGTGTTCCTCTCCCTAACAAATGATCACTGAAATCTATTTCCAAACCAATAACTAGGAGTATGGGATGTGGGGAGTGGGGTTGAGGGAGTCAGAACATACATTAGACCTTACTCTGCATAGCTGGGAAAGAGACAGTCTCAGGTTTTTCAAAGCCAGGGCAAAGCTGGGACAGATTAACTGCAATTCAGGAGAAGGGCCAGAGGATGAATTATTAGACTTTGTGGATCAGTTTTTGTTTGAAATGATACTAATAAAAAGTATGGCTATTTTTCTAAGGTGCTGACAACTGGCAATTGAACAAATGAAAAACATTTATCTCAGTGATAGAACTAGGGTCTGCACTCGCATAAGATTTTAAGACAGTTTCTAAAAGCCAAGATTTAGGCCAAACTTCCCCAACAGGAAGAAATTAAAATTTCTTCATCTGGGAGCTAAGCTGTGTTTAGTGTTTGTACAATATTTATCAGTGTGGTATGCAAACAGGGACAAAGCAAATATCAACCTAAACTCTCAACCCTACACAATAACACTTTGTCAGTTTATAAGTATGAACTAAAGCTCCGGCTCAAACCTGTGATTGTGAAGTCCAATGAAAAATGCAGATAGAGAGTTGCTGAGAGCCCCAAATCTGCATCTTGACTACAGTATGTTTTTAATGATATTTCATCTGTTCTATTTCATTACAGTACTGCAATGCACATAACATTTTACTATTAGGCATGATAAAAGATTTAGGAATGTACCTTCTCAAAGAATCAGACTTCAAGAGCTGAACAAGATTACAAAGCTAAATGTGCAAAAAAGAGTTTAACCACAGGTAGTGTTTTGATATGTGTGGAAAATCCTAGTCTAACTGACTTGCTAGCAGAATTTGAAGCAAGAAAATGAAATAAACTCCAGGTGTTTTACATCTGCAGCCTTTAGTTCCCCAAATGCCTCTTCTGCAGGGTAAAATTTAGTAAAATATCTTGTACTGTACTGTCAGGTGATGGGACATAATGAAACATCCATTTGTTTCATCTTTCTTGGCCTAAATGCAACCACGTGTTCCTACTTTGCAGTGGCTTTCCTAGCTTTCTCCTATAGGAACACAGTTAGCTAGATCGGTGGTAAATATGGACACCCTTAAGAGTTGGTAGTTTATCCACTGTTCCTCACGAAGGTGAAGTGAGATTTTGAATGTCAGTGGTGGATTTGACTACACATTTTCAGAAGAGGCAGAATGCCCCTGGGCTGCTCAGTTCTCTCCAGACACATTACATCTCATAGCAGTGAAGCAAGAAGAGAGTGCTCTCCCTGCCTGTTATAGACATCCCTGAATGTATCCAGGCCAAGATCCAAAAGGAAGCCCAGGCTGCAGAGTAGAGTTGAATGAGTTGTCACAGAAAGGAATGACTATGTTAGATATGGACATCTAGGGTGTGAATGCTCACATGAGTACCATTTGAGATGCTCTAGCAATCCTGCCTGACCACTCTCTGTGTCTCTGACACAACATAAGTCAACATAAGTCTCATGTAGCTCCTGCATCATCTTCTGCGGATGCCTTTGTTCTCTAAAAGTGTCCTAGCACAAGAGCCCTATGATCAGGAAACTTCCCACTGGAATAATGAAAAAACCTCTATACCTAAGTGTCTGTATGTTAAGACTGAAGGAACTAAGACTGTGTACTCTCATCTAATGTCTCTCCTCTTCTCCATTTTCAGATGTTACTCCTTCTCCTTCAGTCTACAAGCTGATCTCTAAAGATGATGAGGATTTGCAAATGTGCCTTATCACAGATTACTCCCCTGAAAAGCTTACTCTTGACTTCACTGCTAAGCAGACAGATGCTGTTGTGGAGGTGGTAACATCTGAGAACAAAAAGGAAGCAAGCTACCTGTCAACCTACTGGGCCAAGAAAGACGAAATGCAGTGTGGTGCAACTCACGAGGGCTTTGGAAAGCTGGAGGGCGAGAATCCTGATAGTGGTAATGGCATTGTTGGATGTGTGCACAAGGCTAGAGGTGCTCTGGTCTCTGTGCTATTAATATGAGGAGGACTTGTTCACGTCTCCTAACCCTGCAAGCAATGCTGAATTATGCTCCCACACTCTGGAGGAATGTTGCTTTGTTGCCTCCGTTTTCTTTTGCCTTCCTCCTTGGTGGAAACAAGATTAAGGGTCAGCAGACTGGTACAGTCACAGCAGAGAGATCTTAAAATCACACTGTGGGGCATATACAGTTTGGAATTCCTTTCTCTGATGAGACATCAAAGTTTAATTAGGTTGTATTTTATGCTTGCCCTGGAAACAGCAGAAATGAGTGTTTATAGGAAGTCAGCTCTTCTAAGTAGAGATATCTTGACAAACTTCTGAAGAAGTACATTTGTGTTATTAATTCAATTTATTGTTACTATCTGCAGGTGACAGCACTGTCTGTGTTACAGGGATGTCTCTGCACTTCAGGACAGGTATGTACACAGCATTTTAGGAGCAAAGCCTGTCCTGATCAAAGGAAATGTCTTCCCAAGTTTTTGCTAACGTTCCCTGTTTGCAGACTCCTGTTGGAGCAAAAAGTTCAGACTGGAAAATTCCAAAAGGGCCCCACAGGCTTTAAACATCAAGGCTGGAAGTCATTGGGTTAATGCAGTCTTCCAGACCTGAGCTGGTTATTTTATGTGACCAGTAGCCTGTGCCTACGTGCTCTTGCTAGGAGTAGCCAAACAACTACTCCCCATCACATCACTATTTAAGGTACTGATATGACTCAGCCTTACTGGATGTCTGTCTGCATTTCAGACTTCAAAAGAGTCAGTTTTATTTTTTTGGGTGCACAAACACCTAATGAACCATAAGATAAGCAGGTGGTTTCTGCAGTGTGTGCTCAGAAACACGGCTGCGCTAAAGATGTGGTGCATCTGAGCAAGCTTTGCTTCAGCTCATGGCTGTGGGAGTGTACTAGCCAGTGCTGGAGCCCAAGCAATTGCTGTTCCTGCTAGTTCAAAGGAGCTGAGCCTGCCTCAGCACTTGCTGTTTGCAGAAGAGCTGTACTTTTGCAAACATGCAGCCTTGCTGAAAATAAACCAGTTACCCAAATGTTTCCAAAACAGCACTTCAGAAGAATACTCATCAGCAAACTTGGCTGATTTGATCAGTCATTTCAGAGAGAGGTTTTCAAAGATACCATTAAATGACTTTTTGATGGTAGCTCACTGCTTCCCCAGTACAGATCAATGTATTTTTAAATGAAAATGGCTTTGTAACTTAAGATTAGAAATCTTAAGTTTAGAAATCTTAAGTTAAGAAAACTTAACATTAGAATAGAAAATCCAAATAGAATTTGTGCTCTCTGAATAAAATTTAACTTGTTTTCCCCCTGCTCATCTTAAAAAATTTTATGGAGAGGAATGAGGGATGTCTCCAGCATCCTGGGTTCATAATACACTGTATTTAAAAACAGCTAGATGGTTGGCAGTCTTGCATATCGGATAATTAAGTGGTTATTGAATGAAAACCCAGGCCTTGAAACACCCACTAGAAGAAATGAAAGTCTCTCAGTGAGACAGTCCTGCTCACTGTCTCATTAGCTATTCTACTAGCTGACTTAATCACACAAAGTGGAACAGCTTCTTTAAGAAGTGCTTTTAAGTCTGTCTGGAAATGAGGATGTCTCAGTGCTCTTCTGAATTTCCCTCTCTGTTACTTTTACAGATGAAAACTTGAACATGCTGTCTTTATCACAGCTGGGCCTGAAAATAATTTTAATGAAAGGAATAATTTTTAACATGCTGATGACGATGCTTATGTGGCAAAAGAAGTGAGTATGCATGGGGGGCAGTAAGGCCTCTGACAGAAAACATCCTGATTGGTTCATTAGCTATCAATGTTCCTTCTCTTTATAATAACTGTTTATGCAGTCTATCCATACACCTTTTGTCTAGAAACAGTAAAACCCCTCCACTCCTTTGGCTATATCATTGTTTTTGCCCATCCCTCAAGTCTATTTACTTTTCCTTATCCACATGCAAATTTAACTTTTTTCTTCTCTCTGGACATCTCTCCCTTCTATTTCTACACCCATCCCTTCCCTTGTCTACATTCATCCATCACATTCATCTCCTGACTGGTCTCCGGCTGGGAAAGTTTGATGCTAATTGACTTTAAGACCTCAGACCTAATATATTAGTTTTGGTCCAGTTTCTCTTTCTCCTCTTTCTAGTGCCTAGACACTTCAGGTCTACAATCATGCAGCTATGACTGTATCCCAAATAATGATTTAACATACCTTTATTTTTGTTACAGGAATGAAAGTAACCATAGAGTGCAGTCCTGAAGTACTGAAAAAAACTGCTGAGGA